TAAGGGGAGCGATTTAATTTAAAGCGAGGCTCTGCTGGGGGTTTGGGGGCTGGAGGTTGGCAGGACCCCCATAAATTAGGGGGTTTCCTGTCCCGCCACACTAATTTTATTTTAGTTTGTACTAACTAAGAAGAAAATCTAGGTATGTTTTATATTATGTATTCATGTAATGCTATAAAATTATCTTTTGGGTTGAGCTTGTACGAACGATCATTGATATTAATATCAGATTCACAAGGTATCGACAAGATATCGGTTCCAATACCAATTATGATATGATATTAATAATAATTAATGCTATAAACTTAAAATAAAATTTAAATAAATGAAAATACGCTAATATAAAAATACTCCAACACTTACCATCAGTTGAATTTATATTGGAAGTTAAACTATGGAAGAGCAAATGCTTGAGAATGAACATGGAAGGAGGAGTCAAATTATTATCTATTGAACTTTCTAATGTTTTTGATTTGTGTGACCAGGTGCAATATCCAATCAGTCACAAGTTGTTTCAAATTATTAAAACATGTCCTGTTAGTGTTGCTAGTGCTGAACGTAGTTTCTCAACTCTGTGAAGAATTAAAAACTAGCGAAGAACACGAATGAGGGAAGACAGACTAGTCGGATTTGTACTACTTAATGTATACAGAGACATTCTAGTAAATTCTGAAAATGTAATTGAATATTTTGCTAAATTGGGATATCGTAAACTAGATTTTGTGATATAAATTGTTTTACATTTACTAGAACACTACTACACTAGTCTAACAAACTAAACTCTGCAGCATTTATATAAATGGTGTATCAATAACTTTTAAATATAGTTTTTAATAAAGAGCTGGAAAAAAATAAAACTACTATGAGCCATAGAATTGATAATATATTCTTAAAACAATCTAAGCTAGAAATCTCAAAACGTAACAAATCGTGAATAATACAATTTCTAAAATATTTCAGCAGAATACTCTAGAACTTTATTTCACTTAGTCAGTGCATTTTTTGAACTAATAGAATTAGTTTGTTCGCTAATTTGGCGGGTTTTTAGAGTTCGCAAATATTCTTTTTATTCTTCCGCACCAAGATGTTTTAAAGGGATCCCAAACTCCAAACACATGTTGTGTTCATATTAAAGATAATGTTAAAAAAAAAGGTTTGAACCAATTTTTTTTTATTAAAAATAAATAATGAATGCATACCGAGAAAAACAAATGTTGTTGTTTTTGCCGAAGCTCGTCTTCTCCATTTTTTTTAACTAATCGAAGTCTTCAAATTATGCGTCGCAATCTACAGACTTTGGCAATTCCTTTGAAGTGCGTTTAATTCATAAAAGTTTTAGCATTTGACGTCATGGTAGACTTTTAACAAAAGAAACTCTGGAAATATTTTTATTTATTTTTAGTCGAAGTTTATTTGGTTATTTGTTTAGTTTTTTTTTTTTTCTACTTTTAATATTTAAAAAGATATTAAAAACCTTAAATATTTTATGCTGGTTCGTTGCTATAAATTGTTATTGCGCCATATATTTAATGTTTATAAATTATGAATATTTATTATCTCAAAAATTGTTTTACATTAATTACCCGTATAAAATTAGTAACAGCTTTTTTATTTGGTCAGACGATATTTCGTTTCAATTTGTTTTGCATGAAGTTCGGAAAGTCAAACGAAAAAAATTAGTTTGAATAATCACGTCGAAATATATTTAAAACAAATTATTTTAATGACGGGGGTTCTAAAGTTTTTTATAACAAATGTAAGTAAAAAAATAAATAACTAAATAAAAAGTTCAGTATTAAACACCATTTCTTTATTATATTGCAACTGTAAATATTGAATTATTAACTTGAACTAAATTTACTTAATTTATCTAAATAATAATTTAGAACGACTAAGCAATAAAAATAAAATGCCTCTAAAATTATGCGAGATTGTGTTGTTTATTTGATAACAGTTGTTGGTAATGTTGTTTATGTTGATTATTTTCATAAATATCAAAATAGTTCCAGATTAATCTGTTCGTTGCTTTGCTCATTGTTGATTTATTTCTAATTTAATTTTATCTCAAACTATAATTATATATTAAAAAATAAAAGTTTTTATTTCATCTGGCGCTCTTTTTATAAAAGAGTAGAACAAAAGAGAAAGAAAAGTTTCGCGCAATTAAACTTTGAATGAATAAGAGTTGTAAAGAATATATATTTTTTTTGCGCCACTCGTTCTTTTTTTAGATGAGAGAAATAAAAGTTTAATAGTTTAATTTTCTTTGAATAAATGAGAATTGGAAGAGAAAATTGCTTGAAAATTTGTATTTGTTAATTGTGTTTTTAAAAATTTTTAATTTTTCATGTTAAGAGACAAATGCCAATTACGACACAAATTTGGAAATACCAAATATAGTATGTTTTTTAATGCACGTTATGACATTTTAACAATTTAAATTACCATCTATCTTGAATTATTGCCTTTAATTAATGTGTTAACTATTGCGTTATTTAATAATAATTTGTCCGTATTTTGGTTAAATATTAGTTTATAAGATATTGAACAGTAAACTTATAATCAAGATTTATAATACCGACTTGTGTTGCAATTAATTGTACTTTTAATGCAAAATCAGGATCCCAATGAACGAATTTTCATATCTGATACTACTGTCAAGTGTTAAAAAAAAAGTACAAAAATACACTAAACTATTGTTTAGTGTATTCTTGAATTTTTTTTCATAATCTTAACAGGTTCTAATTGGTATGGAGTTGCTGACATTTTAAAAATTTCATTATCAAAAATCAAATGTAAAATAAAATGGTATTTCCTTTTTATCCGTATCCAATTCAGCAAATTTAGTAATTTAAATTAAATCAGCGTGATCAAAAAAATTTTATAATAAAAAAAGTTAACAATTCATTAAATATCTCTAATTAATACTGTTAGTTTATGAAAGTAATTGTTAATAAATACTTTTTTTCAACGGGAAAACAAAAAATTGTCATAGCGTAAAAATAACCAGAGAAGTTAGAAAATAGTTCCTATTGTTTAAATAAAAATAATTAAGAATCAGAATATATAATACTGCGCTCTCTTGCACTAAAACAAGAGACCGTATATAAAACGTTCTATATAATGTAAAATACTCGTATGAAAATCATGAGATTGGTAAGTAAAGCTTCAATATTTGTTTTAATTTAAATAATTAAAGAAAAACAAGTAAGATATATAAATCTGAAAATTATTAAGATATCTGTAAAAAATAAGTTGCTCCTATAAAATAAAAATAGTTTATTGTTTTTACTTTTTACAAAATTTTTATTGCGATGTTAAGAAAAATAATACAAATAAATTTGTTTTGCTGTATGTTAAAAAAATACTACAGTAGAAAAACGCAGCTTAGTTTAATTACACTTTTCTTTTGTTAAAAGTCTATCGTGACGTCAAATACTAAAACTTTTATGAATTAAACGCGCTTCAAAGGAATTGCCAAAGTCTGTAGATTGCGACGCATAATTTAAAGACTCCGATTAGTTGAAAAAAATGGAGAAGACGAGCTTTGGCAAAAACAACAACATTTGTTTTTCTCGGTATGCATTCATTATTTATTTTTAATCAAAAAAATTTGGTTCAAACCTTTTTTTTTAACATTATCTTTAATATGAACACAACATGTGTTGGGAGTTTGGGATCCCTTTAAGAACATTCAAGTTTTTTATGTTTCCATGTATGTCCGTAAAACAAAATTTTTTTGTTTTGTATATATAAACTTAAATGTTCTCAAAACAACTAAAAAACCTGGTCAGTTTTTCGCAACTAAATATAATTTTTGTGGTCAGTATTCGAGAGCGATCGCTCCCGCTTCCTGACCAAGCCTGATATGGACAACATTCCTGTCACAGTGTTACAAAAGTCCAGAACTTTCTTTATTACTCTCTAAACTGTTAAAAAAGTGCTTAACTGAATCTTGTTTTCGTGTCTGCTGGAAACTGGTATCTGTGGCATTGGTGAATCTATGGAAACTGGGATATGTGAATCTATGGAAACTGGCATCTGTGAATCTATGGAAATTTGCATCTGTGGCATCTGTGAATCTATAGACACTGGCATCTGTGGCATCTGTGAATCTATAGACACTGGCATCTGTGGCATCTGTGAATCTATAGACACTGGCATCTGTGAATCTATAGACACTGGCATCTGTGGCATCTGTGAATCTATAGACACTGGCATCTGTGGCATTAGTTCTAATTTTCCAAAACTCTAGAGATTGCTCTGACCTCTTTAACTATCATCCAATCAAATAATCCAATCAAATTAGCGAATCAAATCACCCAATCAAATCATCCAATCAAATTTTATTTCCAAAGAATGTTTGATTTATAAACTTCTAAAATCTCATCTTAAATCTAACAATTTTTTCTCTAACAATCTTTTCATGTTCTACTGCTGACCATAATAACAGAAATTGTTTTATCATGCATTACAATGAAGTGGTGAGACAAAAGTTTTTACTCTTCAGATATTGAAGGCTTTTAATAAAGTCTGGCATACTGGTTTTCTTTCAATAAAGTCTGACATACTGGTTTTCTTTCAATAAAGTCTGACATACTGGTTTTCTTTATAAGCTCACTTTATATTGTGTATCTGGGAGAATTTTTGAGATTATTGATTCTTTTCTTCCCAACCACAAAATTAAAGTTTTTCTCAAAGGCCAACTTCTTCATTACAATACTTCAACCTTATAGTCATCTATATTATAATCATCTGTATAGGCAATCTTTCTGATAATCTTACAGAATTTTTATGTTCCATCAACCAAAACTCCTGTGTGGCTTGTCATTCAGCAAAGCTGCATTCTTAAAAAAATTTTATTCATCTTTTCTCTTGGTGCATTGGAAGTATATTGTATACAATATGCAGGCTTATTCATAAGACTTGAATTTGAATGAAATTGAATATTGAACACCAAAAATTTTACATAGGTGATGTGTTTTTATTTTTTTATTCAGGCTGAATTAGTTGTTGATAAAGCAGCAAAATCATATTCTGAAAAGCATTTAAAAGAAGTTCAGGTAAGTTAAGCGAAACTTATCTTTTAAGTTTTTATAATTACTCAATACAGTTATTCATTGGTTTTCAAATATTTATTGTTTTAACAATTATTTTTTTATTAGTCAAAGAAAAATGCTTATTTAAAGTCAAAAGAGTCTGAAAGCTTAACTACTCAAGCAGAAAATTCAAGAGATAAAACTGTTTCAGAAAAAGAATTGTTAAAAGTAAATTTCAATTTTATTTTTATTAATATTATTTTTATATTTACAAGTTTACTCCAAACTATTATTTCAATAGTTAAATTGATGGTTGAAGATTATTTGATAGTAATACAACAATGTATTTGATACAACAATGTATTTGATACAACAATGTATTTGGTAGCTATATAGCAGTATATTTAAATGTATTTTTCTGAAATCTTATTTAAAAAAGGTTGTGGGTATTATAAATGCCAAAGTAAATACCCACAAATATATTTGTTTATGTATAATTACATAAGTTTTTTATACAAAAACACATATGTTTTTATACAAGAACACATGTTTTTACACATTTTTTTCATGAACATATACGTTTTTATACTTTAACACATGTAAGATATTCATTTCCAACGCATCACTTCCAGAGTTGTTAACAAGGCCAAAATTTTTAAGGTCAAGTACAAGGCCAAGGACAAGAGTTCCAAGACCAAGGCCAAAATAAAGAGTTTCAAAGCCAAGGCCTACGCAAACATTTTCAAGACCAAAGACCTTAAATTTGGTTTTACAGTAAGGCCAATTATTAACAAAAATTTAGGTAGAAAGTATTGTGACAGTAAAACTACAAGTTGTAAAATTAGAACAAGGTTATGCACAGAATTCAACGAAGTCAATAAGAAAATATACTTGTTGATAAATATGAAAGCCAAAAACAAAAATACATAAAAATAAAGAATTAAAACTTTTAATTCTTAAATTTTATGTATTTTTGTGCTTAATGCTAACAACTAATATTAACATCTTTTAATTAAAGATATGTTGTTATTAGTTGTTAGCATTAACTATTCTTTTAAATTAAGATATATTGTTATTAGTTGTTAACATTAACTTTAAGTCATAACCATTAACTATCACTATATAACCTATAAGTCTTTATTACATTTAAGAAACATCAAAGTATCAGCTAATCAAACACACAAGCTCTAGAAGAACACATTATCCACTCTGACAGAAGATTCGCTTGATAGGAGCCTACAGTGCAATTATAAGAAAAAACCATGTGTTTAAATCTTTTTTTAAATTTTAAAATGTTTTAACTAAAAAAAACGTTTTTATACATCATGTGTCTTAATATATAGATGTAATAAATTCTCATTAACCAATCATATCATTGATTATTGCTTTAAAATGGTTCGTCAAAAATGTCAATTTAAACTGTGACAAAAAACAAAATTAAGTTCTAAAGCTTTCAAGTAAACAAAAATAACTCTTCTAAACAAAACCAACTGTAATAAAAATTTTAAAATGGAAACATGAAAAGAAGTTCTAAATTCTTAAAGAAAAGGTGAAGGCCAAACAAAGGCCAAGGCTAACAGTTTCAATGCCAAGGCCAAGGTCCTAAATTTTAGCCTTAAGGCAAGGCCAAGGACTAACAACTCTGATCAATTCTTTCATAATGTTGTATTTATATAAAAAAAAAGTTTTGTGAGTTTATGCATAAGTCATATAGTTTGTGAGTTTGGACTAGTTGAATGAAAAACCAGCCCAAACTCACAAAACTAGGATTTGAAATAATAGTAATTATCCTTTTCCTTTACATTTTATTTTTAATAAAAAAGAAAACATTTGACATAAAATAATATAAAAATCTATTTATTTATTTTTAATTTTTTTTATTTTCAAGTTTTAATGCTTGTGGTTTATATATTTTAAGCTTGATCAGAAATGCAAGAAAGCTGAAGAATCTGTTTTAAAAGCAGGTTTTATAGTTTAATTTATAGTTTTTATATTTTTTTATGTTTAAACTTAATAAATTAATGTGGTAGTGATAAGGCAGCAAATTAATTTAATTTGCATGAAATCTATTTCAAGAGATCTCGAATTTCCATGAAGTCTTTTGCAAGAAATCTTAAATATGATTTTATTGTTCCTCTGCAGGGATGCAGAGTCCCAAAAGGACTCCGGCTTTATAACTTTATTTTTTTATGGTCTCTGGTGTCCAGAAGCTCTAAACATGTTAGTTGATTAATGATCTGCTATAAGAAAAAAAATTAATGATATTTAATGACTTAAAACTTATTGTTTTTAAGCCTGGAGTCCTGGAGTCCTTGCTGCCATTATACCTAAGGACTCTGGGTTCAAAAATTGATTGTTCCTCTGACCTATAAGTCTTGATTTTTTTCCCTATTAGTAGCACGTAGCCTTTTTTATATTTTTAAAGCTCCTGGATACCAAAAACTAGAAAGAAGTAATTTTTTTGTGACAAATCCAGAGTCCTTTTTGGGACTCTGCATCCCAGTTCCTTTGACAGTACACACATCTGTTTCTTCTTGTATAAATAAATATACAAATAATTAGTCTTTGAATGGTGAAAAACCTTGATGAAAGAACATTTTTTTGAGCGCATTTTAATATTTTCAAGTTTTTCAAACTCTTTAACAGCAATTGTTTTTATTTCGTATTTTTTCTTACATCAAAATAAATAAACATAACTCAGTTTTCTAATAACCAGGTTGTTATTCAGAAATAAAGAACATTAATTGCCTGATTTGGATTGATTTAGGAAAAACTTCAAATTTTAACAACAATTTTCTAAAAGTTCAACTTCAACTCCAACTTTTCTAAACAACAATTTTCTAAAAGTTCAACTCTAACTCCAACTTTTCTAAAAGTTAATGATTCTTTTTATTTTTTATTAAGTTTTTTTATTAATAATTTCTTGAAATTTCAAGTTTGCTGGCGTACATAAGATTCTCTTTAAGATTCTCACAGAAGATTCTCTTTAAGGTTGCCAAAGTGCATCATATTTTTTTCAAGCTTGCTAAAGTAGATCAGAATTGCTTAATGTGAAGTATTTCAAAATCCTTTAAGATAAAGTACTTTTGTATACCTTCAAGTGAAATACTAAAAAATCTATTTTTTTAATTAAAACACTTCAAAATTCCTTTAAGTAAAATAATTCAGAATTTCTTAAAGTAAAGCGTTTCAGAATATGTTTTTATTGAATTGAATGTTATCTTGCTTTATAATAATACTGTTTACAGTTGTTTTTTTAATCCTAATATGTATTATATTTTAATTTTGATATAGTTATAAACATAATTTATAGTTATAAGTTTCCATTTCTTTTAGATGATGAGTACATTGCAAGATTCATAGAAGCAGAACGTGCGCAGTTGGCACTGGATAGCGCTATAAGTTCCTCTGTGAAGGTTAATTATTTTAGATATTAGAATAATTTTTTTTGTAAAATTTTAACATGTTGAAAGTTATAATTTTTATTATTATTACTGTTATAATATTTTATTATATATTTAGTTACTTGAAAAGATTGAAGATGAAAGAATAGACTATTTTAAAAAAACTTTGCTTCAATATTCATCAATACTCAGTGAAACAGTTCCTAAATATCAACAGGTGATTATGCTAATCTTTGAACATTTTAGATATTAATTACAAGTGATATTATGATTAAAAGCATTATGTATAATGGAGAGATACATAATGTATAATGGAGAGATACATAATGTATAATGGAGAAATACATAATGTATAATGGAGAGATACATAATGTATAATGGAGAGATACATAATGTATAATGGAGAGATACATAATATATAATGGAAAGATAAATAATGTATAATGGAGAGATACATAATATATAATGAATAATACATTATGTACAATGGAGAGATATTTTATAATTTTGGTTTTGAAATGGCAAATAAAAATAAGCAGAAAAGTGCAAATGTTTAAGCATTATTATTACTTGCAGTCTTGACTCACTCAACTCAGCTCAGTTATTTTGTCAGTTTGACTCGCAGTTATTTTCATAGTATTAACTTTGCAGTTTGTTTTGCAAGGTGTTAAGTATTGTATTATTTATGAGTGTTTGAAAAACTTAAAGTTTAAAGCAAAAGATAATAAAAAGAAAAATTGATTAAAAAGAAAAGTTATTACACAAAATAGTAAAAACGCAATAATTATCTATTTTAATTTTAATTCTTTTGTAATTTTGTAATCTTTTAAGATTAGAAAAATACGTTTTGGGTTTTAGTTCAGAATTCAATTATTTTATTGAAACTGTTATCAGTGATTCTTTAGGATGCTGTATCTAAAACATAAAGTTCAGAAGTTGTTTTGAAAAAAGTTTTTTAAAAATCTTTATTTCCTTTTTGTTGAACCTGTACTATCTAAAATCGGAATAAGATATATTTGTATCCAAAAAGTACTGTCAAATAAGTGATGAGGAATAAAAAGCTGTCAACTTCCTTTAAAAAGACATTTTGATCTTATTTTAATTTAAAAATTTTTGATCTTATTTAACTGCATACTTAATATTATTGATATAAAAATTCAACTGTTTAAAAAAATAGAGATTTGTTAGCTAACGGTTCGAATATACTTTTGCAGTTGAATAAATTAAGTTGGTATTTTATAAATATGAAATTGCAATCTTTTTAATATATAAATTAGTAGCGCTGAACTTTCGCTTTTTAAAAGAATTAAACCCTTAAAACATTGAACCTTTGAAACATTAAACCTTTGACTTTTGCTTCATTTGTATTGTAAAAGAATGGCCATTAAGTTCAAAAAAGGATTGTAAAAGAATGGACAGTATGTTCAATATTTGCAAAGGAGTAAGAATAGTTATTTTCTTCAGTTCATAAGTAGTTTCTTTCCTAGATATGCTTATAATATAACAAATAAGTCAATATTAACTGTAACTCTGAACAGAATTTTTTAATTAAATATATTTTTATTTCAAGTTGTAAATAAAGATAGTATAAATTCCTTTGGTAGCCTCAGTGGTTGCAATTTTGAAATATAAGTCAACTGTTGTGTTGTCAATGTGTTGTCTTTATTTGCTTCTCCATGGTATTTTTTTCTGAAATATCTAAGAGTATTGATCCAATCTTTGTATCTATGTGATTTGACCGAATCTTTGTATCTAAGTGATTTGATCTTTGTATATAAGCCAATAAGCGATTATATAGGATGATATATGAATTAAAATCCCATTTACATATGTTGCTATGGCAAATAAATGATTGCAAAAATTAATTTTGACTCTAAAATTAAGAAAAGTTGAAAAAAAAAATTTTTTTTTTAACTTTTTCTTATTTTAAACCAGTGCCAAACTAGATTTATATCATAAGTAAATATTTAAAAATAAGTTTTTTATTTACCTAAAATATTTTTACAAAGTAAACTTCAACTTTTCAAGTATTTCTTTTTATTTATGTAGTTAATGTAGTTGATAATATCAATAATACAAAATAAGTATTTTTAAATAACTTAGTTTATTGTCAATAAAAATGATTAATAAAAATAATTAATAAGAAAAAAGCTTTATGATTGTTATTATTATTTAAACTAAAAAAAAATCATTAAAAATGGTTTCTTAAATATTAAAATAAAATAATAAAGAATAAAGTCTTTGAAAAATAAAATTTAAATCTTATACTAGTTATTTACTACTGTTTATAAAAAAAAATTTATAATAGCAATAGCATTAATAAAATAGGAGAAATACAGGAAACTAAACTTTAAGTCTCTTTTTTATTATTAAAAAAATAATAGCAAGTGCCAAAGCCTATCCATATACCCATACAAAGTGCCAAAGCCTATCCATATACCTAAATTTGCGGTTCCTCTTTTTCCTCCTCATTACTTTATGTACTGAGTATACTTACTATTGCAACAACACTTTATCAGTAGGGTCTGTCTCACAACAACCTAAACCTAGCCAACATTTTCTATAAATGGGAATTCAAAATTGAGAGATAAAATATTGTTTTTTTTTTGAACCAGGGACTAGCTTTAACCCAGCCATGCAAACTAGGTTCAATCAATGGTTGACAGAGGAAACTGATTAGGCTGATAATTTTTGAAAAATTACCAACAAAAATGTTAGAGGCCTCATATCGAAATCTACACTTAGCCTCCCTCGTATAAACAACAAAAATGTTAGAGGCCACATATCTACACTTAGCTCCCTCAAATGAACAACAAAAAAAGTGCAACTTATTTAAATTGGAATTAGACAAAAAAATTACTCAAATTACAGTAAAAGTTATTATTTACTTTGATGACTGTAACTATCATTCACTTGAAAGAAAAAAAGTAATAGAATGAAATAAAACATTTTTTTACTAATGTATCAATTTTTTACTAATATACCAATGCCATTTGTATTTGGCCTAACTTTTGTGATAAATAATTACACTGAGGTTTTTTTTTTTTAATTTTCATCAGTCTGTTGGACATTCGTTTGCTCAAATCACCACATAAATCTCTGAGTTATTCTTAGTATTGTAGTTTTTGTATATTTGTTGTTTTTATAGTTAAATATTGTTGATTTGATGGATGTGATGTAATTGTCATATGCTCAAGGAGACCAATCCGCATAATTCCTTTGATCTCACTTTTTTGACAGACTCGTACAAGATGTTTGTTTTGAGCATAAATTCTTACAGAGTAAACTGTTTACTAAAAATAATTTAACATTTTAAAAAAAATTTTGTCTAGTGTCTAACAAAGAGTTAAAATAAAACCTGGTGTTTGAAACATATTTTACTCAGTTGTCAGCATAAACGACTTTTATAAAAAAGGAAATATTTATAAAATTTATTTTATTTATGCTTGAAATATTATGCTTGAAGGTAAGGAATGGAATCAGGAGAGAGAAAATGGTTAGCACGATAAAAAGAAGCAACCTTAGCAGATGCTAATTTAGCAATCGATTGTATATATGGTTTCCATGAAAAGTCAGTAGTAAATGATAATTCAAGAAGACGTAAAGAAGTAGAATCAGTGAGAGGGTTGCCATTCATCAATAGAGGAATGTCGACAGTACTACAATAGTTATTTGTCTGACAGCAAGTTATTTGACTCGAATGTGAGAAATTTGTTTATTAAAGACTCAAAAACCTTGCTAATAACAGAAAGAAGACTGATTGGACAATAATCGGAGGGGTCAATAAGTTTACCAGAGTATTTAAAAATTAAAACAACAGATGTCATTTTTCAGCAGGCAGGAAAACAAGATTCAGTCAAGCACTTATTAAATAGTTTAGAGAAAATTGAAGATAGTTCTGGAGAAAAATTTAGTTAGACTGTGACAGAAATGTTGTCTGGATCACAAGCCATAGAAGAGTTTATTCGAGATATGACTATGAGAAATCGAAGTTGAAATGATTTGAATGTCTAACAATGGGTTAACTTGTTTAATTAGAATGGAAGAAAGAGAATGGTCATAAGATTCTAGAATCGGCTTAAAAGGGAATTTTTTTGCAAATAGTTCAGCCTTATTTCATGTATTTAAGTATAGCCAAGTACCAAGTATATTTCTAAATTTTTAATTTTTTTATTTAAATTCACCTCCCTAAGGCCACGAAGACCACTTCAATGAGAAAGGCTACATAAGTAATGGTACAACCCACTTTCAACTGTATAAATCAGAAACACAAACCTTGATGAACAATGCCTCTGCGTGTAGAAACAAGTTAAGCGCTGTTCTACCAGGGACGTGGTGGGGATCCAACATCACAAATTAAAATAATTCTAAAAACAATTTATTTATCTAAAAATAAATTGTCTAAACAACACATGATTGTTGTTTAGATATCTAAATTGCTAATAAATTGATAAAGAATTCTAACTGAACTGTATATGCATATTTTGTTTTTTTGAAATTAAAATCAAAAGCGTTCCTCGAAAATTTTATTTATTTTTTTAAAAGTTTTCTTTTCATAATAGAAAAAAAATTAAAATGTATATTTTTTTAACTGAGTTTTTCTAATATCTTTTCAAATAATTGTTTGGCTTTGATTTGAGTCCAAGTATTTGTTTACCAGTACCAATTTAAAGTTGTTTGATTTTATATTTTCAAATTTTTAATAATTAGTAAATTCATTGGTATCGGCATCGGTATCGGCCTTTTCCCATCCATCGGCATCAGCCAAAAAAATAACATCAGTACATCACTAATATATATATATATATATATATATATATATATATATATATATATATATATATATATATATATATATATATATATATATATATATATATATATCAGGGCTCGAATTAACTAAAAAAAATCTAATCGCGAAAAAAAAAAAAAATCACTCCCTCCCCTATACCTTGCGCTTCTTTGCGGTAATGGAGGGGGGAAAGTTGCGTTAGTATATAATTGTAACTTTTGTACGTAATTGTTCTACTTTTAATATATTATCTCTCATATTTAAATATAATCTTATAATTTTCTTGTTTGGCAGAGTTTAAAATAGTGTAAGTTACTGTTATTATTTACAACTTAAGTTATAACTTAAAGTTTAGGTTGCAGTTGTAATAAGCAATAATGTTTTTAATACTATTAAGATATTTCTTTAAGTATATTTTTACTTAA